GAAGAGGGAGGGCGGAGGAGCCTAGGGCGGGGGGGGGAGCGGGCTCAGGAGGCGGGGTCGGGGAGCTCTGCTCGCGCCCCCAGCGCGCCAGTCCCGGGGCTGCAGGGAGCGCAGCGCGCGCCGCCCGGGCCCCGGCCACCGGACGCCCTACCGGACACGACCCTCCCTGGAGCTTGGACAACTGCCCACCACGGACACTGCACCGGACACTGCCCCCCACAGGGCTGGACACTACTTCCCAGCTCCGGACATTGCTCCCTGCTCCCTTCCCCCGGCCCTGGACGCTTTTCCCCCTCCCTCTCCGGGGGCCCGGACATTGAACCCCCAGTAGGCTTCAGCGATCGTCCTCTTACACCCTAACGTTGGATACTGCCTCCTCCCTGTCCCCTTCTCCCCTCGCCTCCCGCCTCATCGCTGCCCTGTTGGGGTCGGAGCCCCGCCAGTTTCTTCGATCCCCTGCTGCTCCGGCAAGGCTGCCCGAGCCCCCATCCCCCGGCTGCTCGCCCGGATGCCTCTCCCCGGGGGATTGTGGTGGCTCCTCTGCTGCCGTCGAGGCTTCACTCTTCTGCACCGGGACTACGGGGACGGCGAGCTTAGCGGGGACGGGGACGAGGACGAGGACGACGAGACCTTTGAGCTACGGACCCCGAGTCCAGCGGGCGGAGGGAGGGTAAGTCTGGAGGGATTTAGAACCATGTCCAGTCCGCACTACAACCGGCCGTCGCCCCTGATCTTGCTCCAGGCTCCGGCCAAATGCTGTCCTCTTGGGCGAACTGGGACCGTGGGGGAAATTCTTGCCTGGAGGCCAGAGCCCCCAGCTGCTCCAAGAGCAGCCCTAGTTGGGATGTGCCTGTGGGCCTCGCGCCGCGCACTGGGCGCTGTCCACCTGCTGGGGGCCCTGAGGCAGGGGAGGCGTCACGCGTGGCCCGACCTGGCCCTGCCTCTCCCTTCCCTGCCGGGCCCGCGTCCCATCCCGTCTCCTTCCGCCTCCGCCAGCGCCAAGGAATGTGGCGAGGCCGGCTGGGCAGCTCGAACGCCTGGGTCCGCTCTGCTCACAGTTCGTGAGCGCTGGGGCCAGATGCGGGAGCTACCACCGCGGGAACCTGGGCCAGGGGGAAAAGGCATCCTAGAATTGGGGTCTGCATCGGAGACCCCACAGAGAAAGAGCTGGGGACCGTGGCCCTTTGAGGACTTCTCCTCATTATCCAGCCACTTAGGACAGAATTCTCCTCCTCCGGTGAGGCTCCTGGGGAAACCCCTGATGGGATGGTGAGGGTCACTTGGCTGCTAGTGTTTTTTTAAAAAATCGAATCTCCCCGTGGGGAAACGGAGGCATGATTGATGAAGAGGCCTCCATCCCTAGAGGAGACCTCTCATGTCCTTATCCACCACGGGCAATCAGACTACAGTGTGCTGTGGCCTGGGTCAGGTTCCCAATCCCCCTGCTCGGGGGTCCCCAGCAGGCCCGGTGGCTCTATGCCCGGGTGGGGCAGGCTGCACCGTCGCCAGCGCCGGCACCAGCACGTGGTGAGGCAGAGGGCAGATAAATATAGAGGGGAGGAGGAGGGACACAGGGGACTGTGATTAGGGGAGCTGGTCTAAGGGGAGATCAGTACCTGGCCTCTGATGGTGTGGGAGATAGCCCTGCTTAGAGCCTCTAGGTAAGAGGTTCCCAGGGAAGGGCTCCCAGGGAAGGTGCAGGACCCAGGAGTCCCCAAGCCTCCAGCATGGGCAGGATCTGCTCTGTCAAACAGTTTACAGCCTTCCTCAAGCTCCAGCTCCACCTCCTCCTAGGAACTTGGGGACAGGTGTCCCTGGTCCCCCTTCTCCCTTCCCCCTCCTGGCTCTAGCAGTCTGGGTGCAATGAGACCATGGCACAGTTCCTGTCTAGTCTGGCTCTGGGTTGGATTTAAAGCCTTCCTTAGACCCCAGGTTACAATTTAAGTTCTGGGGCAGGGGTTGAGGTAGGCTGTGTATGAGAGAAGGGCAAAATCTCAAGCTGCCTCTTCCCTGGAGAGTGTGTGCTCTTCAGCCTGGTCTGGCTTCCTGAAGCCCCAGCAGAGGGATAGAGTCAAGGTTGACTGCAAAAGGGCTTGGAGAAAGCCCTATGCTAAAAGCCCTCTTCCCTTCATTCATCTCTTTTCCCACTTTTGCCCCATCCTGGGTCCTACACTTTCCCTAGAACATCCACCTCTTTTCTAGAGGTTCTGAGCAAGGCAGAGAGGGTGAAGGAAAAATGAAAAGGAGGCCCAGAGATGGGAGGGGACTTGCTCCAGGTTCCAGAGTGACTTAGTGGTCCAGCCGGTATTGGAACCCAGGTCTCCTAACTCCTTGCTCAGTGCTCTTTTCCCCCACCCCTCCCATAGTTGCGTTTTCAAAGGGCAGCGGAGACAAGCCTGGAGCTTTGGCGTCTTAGCTCCTGGCCATTCTATAGTGTTCCATAGAGTTCGGTAGGAGAGACGATCCCAGAGCGGCTCTGGCTCTTCCAGCCCAGTCGTGACCCCCGACTCCTGGACTCTTTCCTCAACCCACTGATTCGAGCTGTCCTAGGAGCTTGCGAAACCACGGGGATTGCGGGAGGAGGACTCTGCGCTGAGGGTTTCCCTGCCTATCTCCCCAGGGTCCCCTGGACCTGGACGTAACGCTCACTCAGCCGGCAAGGAGCGGGCAGGTCTCAGACAGGTGAGCTTCGACTCTGCATCCCTAAGTTCTGAGACCCCCAGCCAGTTCCCAGGACCCCTATCCCCGTCGGTTGTGCAATAAGGGAGAGGCTCTGCGCCGCCGGACGCTGTGGTTTGGCCGGGGTCCCGGGGGGGCGGTCCAGCTGGGGGCGCGGGGAGGAAGGGGGGGGTTCCTGGCTATTTCTGGTGCAAGGTCAGAACGGCCCCGCGGTTCCCACAGCCTGGAGGATGGTTGCTCAGCTTGGGTGCATGCACCCCTCGCGGTCTGGGGAGCCCCTACTGAGGAGCCCCCTGGAGGCAGAGTGGAGGCCCAGAAGCCTCGCCCAACTTTTCATCTCTGGCCCAGGCTGCACAGCTGGGAAGAGACCTGGAGCCTCATCCCCGAAAAGGGGCTACCGGAGGATGACCCCGACGTCGTTGTGAAAGGTGGGGACCCCTGGGTGCAATCTGGAGGCCCTCAAACGCAGCCCTCCTGGGGATAATGTTCTTTCTTGCTAATCTCTTCTTTCCTCCCTCTCCTCTCAGGTTGGCTGTATCGGGAACCCCGCGGGGGAGGGGCGCGGCCCTGGCTGCCTCCGCGCCGGGCCTGGTTTGTGCTCACGCGAGATTCCCTGGACCAGTTCAGCAGCAGTGGAAAGGGGGCGAGACGCCTTGGGAGCCTCGTACTCACTAGCCTGTGCTCCGTGACTGGCCCAGAGCGCAGGCCCAAGGAGACCGGTGAGACTTCTCGGGAATCCTCCTGCCTTCCCGGCAGGGGCCCCAACAATCCCTGATTGCCCTCTACGGCCTCTCCCATCAGGTCTGTGGTCAGTGACTGTGTCTGGCCGGAAACACAGCATCCGTCTCTGCTCCCCGCGCCAGGCAGAGGCAGAGCGATGGGGGGTTGCATTGCGTGAAGTGATTGCCTCCAAGGCTCCACTAGAGACCCCCACCCAACTACTGCTCAGGGACATACAGGTGAGAAAAGTCTTTAGTGAGAACCCGGAGGGCGGTGGGCCTAAAAGGGTTCTGGGCTTGTAGAGAGCCCCCTTCGCCCATCAAGGTGACTTTCTTCCTGACCTCTAGGAGAGTTGTGGGGATCCAGAGGCAGTGGCCCTCATCTACCGGCGGAACCCGATTCTGAGACACACCAGTGGAGCCTTGTATGCCCCCCTCCTGCCTCTGCCCTATGGAGTCAGCGCTCCAGGTGAATGAGTGGACCCTAAGCCCAAGTGTCCTGGATGGGATGGGGTGGATCTGTGGTAAGAATCCCAGTGCAGTAGCTGGCAGGGACCTAGGGGTTCTACCCATCTGACTTCTCAAATATGTAGGTGAAACTGGAAGCTGACTAGGGTGGAAGAGAGGGAAATCAGAACAGAATAAAAGCCTCACTCCCTCTAGCCACCTCTAAGGCTCATATTATGACTACTGATGTTCTTTCAGACCCATTTACACTCTCCTAGCTTTTTCATTACACCCTTAAGGATAGGTCATATTACAAGTGGTGGGAAAACCACCACTTGGGGAAATTGTGCTAGGCTTCAATTCAGGTATTCTTCTCCCCCAAAGGGAACATTGACTGGCCCAAGTCCTAAAGCTAGAGGCTTAAGGGATGCCAGGAGAACCCTGGTTTTTGGTGCCCAGAGCAACCTTTTATTGGCCCACAGTGGCTTTCAGTTATAGAATCAGGGGTTTAAATCCATGTCCCTTACTTTCCCTCCACCTTACTAAGAAAGTCTAGTAGGATACAGAGAGGGATTCCTGGGAGGCAAGGGTTGAGTTTGGCTCTGTGGGACCACTGCTTTCCCTTCACTCTTCCTGTCATTGGTACCCTCCTCTCCTTGCCATTTCCTGTCCCCTTATACTCCTGACCTTCCTCTGGATCGTGCCTTCCCCCCAGGGCGAAGCTCTGTGTCCCCTCTCCAAACCATCCCTCCGCCCCCACCCTCCCGCAGGTCCAGGCTACGCACCCCTGCGTGAGGAGGCGGTGCGGCTGTTCCTGGCGTTGCAGGCACTGGAGGGGGCGCGGCGCCCTGGGCCCCTGATGCAGGGTGTGCTCCAAACCTGCCGGGACCTGCCTGCACTCCAGGACGAACTCTTCCTGCAGCTGGCTAAGCAGACCTCAGGTCCTGCTGGGCCCCCTGGGCTCCCTGCTACTCAAGACCCTGCGACTCTGCGGTATTGGCAGCTTCTCACTTGCATGAGCTGCACCTTCCGGCCTGGGGGAGTTGTTCGAGGGCACCTGCTGGGGCATTTGGAGAGGTGAGAGGGGGAGGCCTCCACCTAGGAGATATGGGGCTGGGTGAGAAGGGCAGACCTTTGCAAAGAGTTTGGCAAATGGAGAAATTAGATCCAGAGAAGGGAAGAGACATGCCCAAGATCAGGCCTGGTGATAACATACTGGGTGCCTTTGTGGGAATTACAAGATCACATCCCACCTGTGACCAGATGAATTATAATAAGGCAACTCCTTTGAGTAGAAGAATTATAATAAAGGCAGGATTTAAGAAAGCATAGTAATTTGGCTCCACATGGCCTCTGGAAGATGTGTGAAGTGGGTGGGGCAATTGTAAGGGAGCTGGCTGGAGGCTTAGAAAATAATTCAGCTCCATACAAAGCACGGAGGATACATTAGGCTGCCCTCAAGTAACTAGAGTTGGAGAAGAGGAAACTGACCAAATGCAATGAATTTTTTTTCTATGCTGGGGAATCATGCCTAGGCCCTCAGGCATTCTAAGCTAGCGCTCTACCACTGAGCTATATATTTCCAGCCCTGACCGTATGAAATAAATTACAATAAAAGATGGAAAAAGGCCCTTGGAACACTGATCCTTGGATTCCTTCTAATCCAGAACGGAGCAGGCACTCCCGGACTCAGAACTGGCAGAATATGCTCGCTTTATCCGAAAAGCTCTGGGCCGGACGCGGGGCCGAGAGCTGGTGCCTTCGCTGGCGGAGATTTCTGCGCTGAGCCGACGGCAGGAGCTATTGTGCACAGTGCATTGCCCTGGGGCTGGCGCCTGTCCTGTGGCCATCGACTCTCACACCACAGCGGGAGAGGTGAGGCCAGAGAAAGCCCTCCTCCTGCTACCGCCACCCGCCCTTCCAGCTTTGCTTTGCTTTCTTTATGCACGATGCTGGTGAATGAACCCAGGGCCTCAAGCATGCTAGGCACCCTTCCAGCTTCTGATGCCTGCCTCCCCGGGTTCCTGGCATTAGGTTTGTCCAGATTCCTCGCATCGGCAAGGAAAGAAATAGTGGTGACAGTACTGAGACTCCTCCAGTAGGATCAGCACTTTCCAGAATCCTGGCAAGTCTCCTGAGCGGTCTGACTTTCCTCTTTCTCCCCTCCAGGTGGCTCGAGAGCTGGTGGGGCGGCTGGGTTTGGCCCGGAGCCGGAACGCATTTGCGTTGTATGAACAGCGAGGGGCTCAGGAGCGAGCCCTGGCTGGGGGCACCCTCGTGGCCGACGTGCTCACCAGGTTTGAGAAGTAAATGTCCAGCCCTAGCTCTGTCTGTATTAGCCCACATACTTACCTCCTGCCAACCACTAAGGCCACGTGTTTCCAGGCTAGCCACTTGCTTGCGGATTTACAAGACAAGTCCCTACCCGCAAGCTGTGTGCAGTCAAGGCTCCACCTCCGCCAGGTCCCGCCCCCAAGCACGTGGTCTTGGTCCCGCCCCTCTCCCCCGCTCGCTAGGGTCCCGCTTCCCAGTCTCCTCATCTCATCCTTTTCTCTCCTACAGTTTGACCTCGGAGGAATCCGGACTGGAGGACTCGCCAGACTCCGGGTGGAGACTGTGTCTACGTCTTCACGGACCTCTGCACCCAGAAGGGCTATCCCCAGATGGTCACGAATTGCCTTTCCTCTTTGAACAGGTGAGGCTCTCCAAACAGATCCCCTAAACCTGAACTCCTCTTATTCTGGATGGTCTTCTTTTAATCATTATGACAACCCCGTGGGAGACTTTCCCCGAACCTGGACTTCCTCAGACTCTGTACCCCGAGGCACACACGTTGACTGCGGGTACCTCTGTTGCAGGCTCACGCTCTGTTGCTGCGGGGCCGGCCGTCCCCGCCCGACGACACGCTGCGCGCCCTGGCGGCGCTGCGTCTGCAGAGTCTGCACCGGGACTTCTCCCCGCGGGTGCCTCTGCCGCGCCTCGACCGCCTGCTGCCGCCCCCTACCCCGCCCCACGAAGACCCACCTCGTCCTACCCCTAGGCCGCCGCCCTCCGCCGCCCTGCTGGCCGGGGCGCTCTGGAACCCTGGCCTGGCCAAGAGGCGGGCGGAGCGAGCTCGACGCGGTCGGGCCGGCCGCTCTGCTGGAAGCGCGACCTATGAAGGAGGAGGCGGCGCCAACACGACGGCGGCGGTGCTGGGCGGCTGGAAGCGGCTGCGGGGCATGGGCAGAGCTGAGGCCATGGCTGCCTACTTGGCTCTGGCAGCGCAGTGTCCCGGGTTCGGAGCTGCTCGGTATGACGTTCTGGAGCTGAGCACGGTGAGGGGGAGAAGGGAGAAGGGGACTCTGATGGCCTAAGCCCCAACACCTTTGTCCCAGAGCCGCAGGCCCCCCACATCTAGAACAGCTAGCTGCCCATGTCAAACCTCAAGACTTATCAGCCTTTAGGCCTGCACCCCCCAGAGTCTGGGCCCACCTCAAGGGTGTGCTCCGTGAATCACAGGGGAGGGTCAGGAAGCTTCCTGATCTTAGCCATCTCCCCTATTAAAAATAATGATGCAGCTTCCCCTCCTTTGACCCTGACTCTGCTCATCTGTCTGCAGGAGCCTGGTGGAGGTGCTCCACAGAAGCTATGCCTGGGCCTGGGAGCCAAGGCCATGTCCCTCTCCAGGCCTGGTGAGACAGAGCCCATCCATAGTGTCAACTATGGCCATGTGGCCGCCTGCCAGTTAATCGGCCCCCACATCCTAGCATTAAGAGTGGGCGATAGCCAGCTCCTGTTGCAGAGTCCCCAGGTGAGAAGTGGGAGTGTGTAAGGAAAAGGGAAGTTACATTGACAGCCGGCAGAGCTGAGAGGTCCAGCCATGGTCAAGGGCAAGCTTACATTTAAGTGAGGGAGTCCTAAGACAAACAAGGAATCAAAGCAAAAGTAGAGATAAACTCTACAAAGGGCGTAACCAGACAGCAATTGACTAGAGGGGCCCTTAGCATTGGGTAGTCAGGGAAGGATTCCAATCATAGGAAGCTGTGGGGGAAGAGATGGAGGTAGAGGGCATTGCAAGTGCAAAGGCAGAAAGAAGCAAGCTTAGCATTTAGCATGTTAGGAGGGCAGAAAGGAGTGAGACTGAAACACTGTGGGAGAACAGAGTGGTGAAAAGGAACGGAAGGTTGCCAGGACAGAGCATGCAGAATCCTGGTGCAGAAAGCTGGAGCCCTAGAGCCTGGCTAGAGGAGGGAAAGAAAAGAGCCCAGCGGCCGCTGTTGCACATTAACCTCTGCCCTCTCCTAGGTGGAAGAGATCATGCAGCTGGTGAATGCCTACTTGGCCAACCCCTCCCCAGAGAGGTCCTGCAGCAGCCCTGCTCCTCCATGCCAAGACCTGCCAGACACTTCCCCTCCCAGCCAGCACCAAGGTCTGGACCAGCCCCAGGGACAGTCTGGCTGCTTGGGGCAGCTGCAGGACTGAGCCTGCCAAGAGGTCATGACTTCTCTCCTGCCTCCAGCCTGGGCCAGGACTGCTCTGAGATTTGAGGAAACCATGAACCCTTTTTGGCCCTGCAGGGACAGGGTACACTCACACTCACAAGCTGCACTGGGTGTGGACAGTTTTCTAGTTTGTTTCTTAATTTATTTGTAGAAGGAAAAAGAAAAAAAATCCATATTTACACAAAGCTTTCCTGTGGGAGTGTTGTCAGTGGGACTAGTTGGAGCCCATGGCTCAGAGCTCTGCCCCTGGGGACGCCTACACACTGGGCTTTTACCAGGCACTGAAGGTAGTCTGGATACCACAGGGCTCCACCCTCCTTGACCTTCTGGATTTAACCTTCTCCTGGCCAGTGTGGATGGTGGGTGGAGCAGGCAAGAGGGCAGTACTGGAAGTGCTGGCAATTACTCACCCTTGGTATTCAACTGAATGGTGTAGGGTACCTCCTGTCATCCCTGAGGCTGGAGGGCAGTGAATCATCAGGATGGGCCCTTGGTGCTCAGCTTCTGGGCCCTCTTTGGGTCCATGCTTTGAGACAGAAATGGAGAGGTATGTGGGGCAGCTTGCAGATGTAAGAACATCTCGGGTACAAAAAACAATTCAGGATGGGCTCAGGCCTACTCCTGAGTTCCCTGTCAGGTTGGGTTAGGTAATATTAAGTTCTTGAGACTCTGAAGTCCTGTCTAAACACAGTGGACCTTTCTCCCCTAGACTCTACATCTGTCTTGAGTGGAGGATACTGGGGCATCTTGGCACATGTAGGAGCAGGAGCTTAAGCACTGAGGACAAATCAACTATCAGGAACTTTCAGTAATTCTGAGAGAGGGACTGACCCCTACTGCCCAATAAAATGGGCTGGCTCAAGGCAAGGAGTGCCAGTGCAAAGAAAAGACACACTAAGGTCTTGACTAATTAGTAAGAAGTTGGAGCAGAGCCAGGCATGGGGGTGTATGCCTTTAATCTCGGCACTCAGGCAGAGGCAGGTCTGGTCTACATAGCAAGTTCTAGGCCAGCCAGGGCTACATAGTGAGATCCTTTCTCAAAAAACAGAAGAAGCTGGAGCCAGGGAAGGTCAGCCTACTTTCACATGTCCAGAAATGGAAGATTCCCCTCACCAGCCCCCATATTCACAGATCAAGCTCTGACTTTATTCACCATCAAGCTTTATTGTTTAATTAGAATGAAACAAGCATATCAAGAGCCAGGGATGGAAGGAAGAAGATAGAACCAGCTCCTGCACTGGAAATAAACCTAGAAGTGTGACAAGGTGAGGATTGAGTCGAGGGTCCAGGCACAGTGGGGGGCCATGCGTTCCATCCAGGTGGCAGCAGAGAGTAATCACTGCTCTTGGGTGCCCCAGGATATATAGTCTGGCCGTGTTGCTGCATGGTACTCATCAATGAGCTCCTGAACCACCTCCCTGGACCTGTCCATCTCCTCAAAATTGTCCTTGAAGATATCCTCCTTTCGGAACTGCTCCAGGAAGGCCCCCCGCTTCCACAACTTATCATACTGCTGGCAGGAACTTTCAAACAGCTGGAGAGAAGGAATGCTTCAGAATGGGATCTCGTGTAGGACATGGAATTAGGAATGCACTAGGGGAAGCTGAGGATGGCAGACAGTGGAACAGAGTGGTCAGAGAAGACCAGAAGCCGGGGTGTGGCTCAGCGGTACCGTGCTTGTCTAGCACGCAGGAGGCCTGGCAACACAGATAATTTTTTTTCCCAAAGATGACCAGGAGACCGCACTCACCGAGGAGATACTGGTGTGGTTGGCCATCATGAGCCCACTGACCCGGTGGGCTGAGGGTAGGTAGGGGGACTTCCTCGATAGGGCCACCTGGATGCTGGCTGGGCCCCAGGGGATGAAGTTGGCCAGCTTCCGTTCCCGGATCCTCTGCAGGCTCTTGTGTACCTGGGGTGGGCACAGACAGGTGGTGGTTGCTTCTCCTCTACCTTGTGGTCCCAAGGGTAGGATGTAGGGGCGTCACCTACCTGAGTGGGGTCCACCTCTCCCTGGATGATGTTGAGGATGGCAATGTAGCAGTGGTTGGTCTGGCGGTCTCGGCCTGTGGACACCATCACGTTCTTGGGCTGCAGCAGCCTCCTCATGACGTCTAGGACAGTGGTCTTCCTCACACTGGTCACCTGAGGGGAAGAGGGTTCACATGGACCAGGTCAGCACTCGGGACAATCCAGAGATGCATGTCCCCATTGGCTTGGGATGATGTGGTCTTTGGGGAATGTCTTCAGATCAGGTCTATGCCAAGTCTGTGTCATGGCATTAGTATCTTGGCTCTCAGCTCAGCAAACCCATGCCCTTGTGCATCAGCAGAAGCTGACTCCAGCCAGCACAGCTCCCATAGGAGCCAAAGGCAGTAAAGATGGAGACAATGCAGCAAGCAACACAATGTGAGTCCTTGAGTACAGGGCCTGATGGGAAGGCTGCAAAGGGCAGCTCCTGGGACAGCAGAGAGAAAAAGGCAAGGTCAGGGCCACCTGTCCTGGGACACTGTGGGAGCCCTTACTGACTGGTCCGTGGTAAGGGGAGTATAGCCAGTCATGAGGAAGTGGAGTCGTGGGGTGGGAATGAGCGAGGCGATGAGGCCAATGAGGTCGTTGTTCATGTAGCCGGGGTAGCGCAGGGTGGTGGTGCTGGCTGACATGATGGTGGATACCTGGAGATGGGAGTCTGTGTTATAGGCCTTGGCCTGGGAGGGACCCCACCCCACTGTAGCCTTCTAGCCTTCCATTCCAGGAAGAGGCTCACCAGCTGGTTGATCTGGGAGAAGGATGGGTTCTGAATGTGCAGTCGATCTGTGGCTATCCGGTTCAGTGCTGTGTTATCCAGCACCACCTGGGGCGGGGTCAGGAGGCAAAGGGGGGTTGTAATACCATCTGAGGAAAAGGGGACATTGAAATAAGATAATAGCTTAGCTTCTGCTAAACTCCAAAAACCAGGAAGTAGGTTTGCTAACTTCAGCAGAAAGTACTCTCTTTAGGACATCATGAGATACTTTTGGACCCCACAGGACAGTAAACAAATATGTGAATGCCCCCATGAGCTTTGGTTCTGGAGAGACCACAGAGAAAAACAGACATGGTCTTTTCCACCATCAGGCCTACAGTCTAGTGAAAAAAGACAAGCTACTTTAAACAGCAGGCTACTGGGGCTGGAGAGCGGGCTCAGTTGTTAAGAGCATTGGCTGCTCTTGAGGAGGACCCAGGTTCAGCACCCATATGGCAACTAACAACTGTCCATAACTCCAGTTTCAAGGGATCCAACACCTTCTGGCCTCTGTGAGCAACCTCACACATCACACTCTCTCTCTCTCTCTCTCTCTCTCTCTCTCTCAGACACACACACACAAATAATAAAAATAAAACATAAGGGGCTGGAGAGATGGCCCCATGGTTAAGAGCACTGGCTCTTGCTGAAGAGGACCTGGGTTCAGTTCCTAGCACCTACAAGGCT